AGTTTGTTCCGGAACTCGGCCACGTTTTCCCGAGAAATATTGACCCGGCCGGTGTATAGAGCATCACCAGTGCTGTCATCCGCATAGCAATGAATGTTACCAGTTAGCAACATATCATTGATATGCAGAAGAAACAGCGTTGGTGATAGCACACAGCCTTGTGGAACACCATTGTTAATAGGCTTGTAGTTAGAGCATGCACCGTCTACAACGACCTTGATGCACCGATTTGCAAGGAAGCTGGTGATCCAATTGCACAATTTTTCGGGAAGCCCATAGGAAGGGAGCTTCGAAAGAAGCGCTTTGTGCCAAACCCGATCGAAGGCCTTCGCAATGTCCAGACTAACGGCCAACGCCTCCCCCTTGGACTCTACTGCCTCCGCCCATCTATGGGTCAGGTAGACCAGAAGATCACCAGCTGATCGACCCCGACGAAAACCGTATTGGCGGTCACTAATCAGCTGGTGATCCTCAAGGTACATGAGCTGGCAGTTAATAATGGATTCCATTATTTTGGAGAACAAGGAGGTGATCGCGATAGGCCTATAGTTGGATGGGTCTGAGCGGTCGCCTTTTTTAGGGATCGGGTGGACAAAAGCTGTCTTCCATGAATTCGGGACTACGCCTTGGGAGTAGGAGTACCGGAAAAGACGCGTTAGGACCGGTGCCAACTCCGGAGCACACGTCCTCAGCACAATTGGGGGGATTCCGTCAGGCCCACTCGACTTCTGGATGTCCAGGGAGAGCAGTGCTTTGCGAACCGAGCGCTGTGAGAACAGCACATCCGGCATGGAGCACTCACACCGCGGGATGGTCGGCGGTGTTTTCCCCCGTCATCAAGAGTCGAGTTGGATGCAAAAAGGGAGCCTAAAAGGTCGGCGGCTTTGTCTTTTGCGTCTAGTGAGTCATCCTCCCTGTGCAGAGATGGTAGTGATGGCTTACAGAAATTCCCTTGGACAGCCTTGGCGAGAGACCAGAATGCACGGGTTCCCGAAGGAAGGCGAACTAGTTTCTCGCCAACTCTGCCTATGTGTTCTGACTTTGCCTTGGCAATAACTCTTTTGAAGGACCTGAAGGCGAAGTTATACTTCTTTTTAAGTGTGCTGGAGTTTACATCCCGAGTCGTCGAAGCCGCAGCCCAGGCTTGATAACACTCCTGCTTACTGCGTAATACCTTTACAGCCTATCAAGTATTTTTTTTTCACATACTAGACCTGGGTCACTTTATATTTTTTATGCTATTTCCACTTTTCTAAGCATTGCAAAGTCGCAGTAATAAAAATGATAAGAAGTTTCTATCACGTTTAATTAAGTTATTTTATATTCCCGACGTTTCGGTTGCTTTCCAGCAACCGTGGTCACGGGGGACTGAGGTAATTGACGTCCCGATGTCAAAGTTAACCCGGAGTACCTTCAGCTTTTTAATTATTAATTTTGGCCATCTGTCCCAAGGAGGTGTCGGATTTATCGTCCACAAGTCTCTTGTTAACAACGTTGTAAAGATTGGGAGTGAGTCAACGAGGGTTGCGTACCTTATACTTAGAATCACCAAACGGTATTCGCTGAAGATCATGCAGGTTTACGCACCAACCTCGGAAAACCCCGATGAGGAGGTGGAGGATATGTATGAGGATATCTCTAGAGCCATGCATTCCTCCAAAACCTACTATACGGTGTTAATGGGAGACTTCAAAGCAAAACTAGGCACAAGAGAGAACGGTGAGCTGAAAGTAGGGAATTTCCGGAATAGGGCAATGGAACCCAAGGGGCCAGCAGCTGGCCTACTTCATGGTGAACGAGGGACTCTTTATGATGAACTCTTTCGTCCAGAAGCAGCCCCACAGGAAGTGGACCTGGTCGAGCCCCGACGGTTCGACAATAAATGAGATTGACTTCATTATGACGACCAGACGACAACTGTTCAGTGACTGAAACCGGTAGCGATCACCGAATGGTGAGAGGCACACTGAACCTAACCGTTGAGTTGGAGAGGTCACGTCTAATGAAGTCAACGCTCCGTCGCTCGTGCCCTAATCCAAAGTCCCGAAACCTTTTAGTTCGAGCTACGTAACAGTTTTCAGTGCCTAGAAGATTGCAATGCAGTAGAAGATATGAATGACAAGCTCGTGGAAACTGTCCATGCGGTCGGAGCTAAGTTTTGCAAGACCCGCCGCAGAAGAACACAAAAAATCTCCGATTACACTCTTGATCTCATGGCTGTTAGGCGGGATATGAAGCTGCAGCCTTCAGTAGATTTGACAGCATATAGGCAACTGAACAGACAGATCTCCAAATGCATGCGGTGGGACTTATGCAACTTTAATACTGCTCGTATTAAAGAAGCGAGCGGAACCAGGACTCAAAAGACTTTGCTAGAGATCTGTCTGCCAGAAAGAGCCAACTGTCGAAGCTGAAGACCGAGAGTGGCAGCGTCGTTTCCGAGCACCTGAGATTTTGAGTGAGATTGAGAGGTTCTATGGGTAGCTGTACATATCATCCTTGGAGCCACACGTAAGTGTGAGTAACGATAAAAGAGCGAGTTTTATCCGACACTATTCCGATGATATACCGGACGTCAGTCTAAGCGAGATTAGAATGGCTCTCCAGCACCTTAAAAAAGGCAAGGCGAGGATGGAATTACAGTGGAGCTTCTGAAAGCGGGTAGAAAACCGGTACTTGAGTCCTCCATGGTGGCATTACACCGGAGGCGTGGAGCAGAAGTACGGTGGTCTTGTTCTTCAAGAAAGGTGACAACGCTCTCTTGAAGAACTACAGACCGATTTCCTTTCTGAGCCGCGTCTACGTGCTGTTTTCGAGAGTCATTACGAATCGTCTCGCGCGCAGACTTGACGACTACCAGCCTCCCGAACAAGCCGGTTTCCGAAAAGGCTTTAGCACCACAGACCACATACACACCCTTCGGCAAATTGTACAGAAATCCGAGGAGTACAATTTGCCACTATGTCTGGCGTATGTGGACTATGAGAAAGCCTTTGATTACGTCGAAATTTGCAGTCCCTTCAGCGATGCCAAGTTGACTGTCGGTATATCGAAGTGCTGAAGTGCTTGTACAGTAGGGCTTCGATAGCTATCCGAGTACAGAACCAGAGTACGAAACCTATCCAATTGCAGAGAGGTGTAAGACAGGGTGACGTTATATCCCCGAAACTCTTTACCGCTGCATTGGAAGACGTTTTCAAGCTTCTGGACTGGAAAGTATACGGTATTAACATCAATGACGAGTACATCACTCACCTTCGATTTGCCGACGATATAGTCCTTATGGCAGAATCGCTGGAGGACCTAAGCACTATGCTTAATGACCTCAATAGTGTTTCCCAACGGATAGGTCGTAAGATGAACATGGACAAAACAAAGATCATGTTTAATGTCCATGTCACACCTATGCCGGTAGTTGTTGACGAGTATGTTTACCTGGGACAAATAGTCCGTCTAGTCCAACTTCGACTGAGAGGTCAATCGACGGATTCAACTCGGCTGGGCAGCGTTCGGGAAATTACGGCACATCTTCTCGTCAAGTATACCTCAAAACTTGAAAACGAGACTGTACAACCAGTGCGTGTTGCCAGTGCTGGCCGGATGAGGAAGCTCAAGGTCGCTCAGCGAGCTATGGAGAGGGCTCGGAGTTTCTCTGCGTGATAAACTTAGAAATTAGGATATCTGCAGTAGAACCAGAGTGATCGACATAGCCCAACGGATTAGTAAGCTGAAGTGGCAATGGGCCGGCCATATAGCTCGAAGAACCGACAACCGATGGGGAAAAAAGGTTCCCGAGTGGTGGCCTAGTACCGCCGGACGAAGTGTAGGGCGTCCCCCCACTATATGGAGTGACGACCTGGTAAGATATGCAGGAAGTCGATGGATGCAGGTGGCTCAGGACCATGCTTTGTGGCATTCCTTGGGGGAGGCCTATGTTCAGCAGTGGACTTGTGAAGGACTGTAATGATGATGATGAATAACTTAAAATCAATATATAATATTTTGAATTCAATGCATGCGTTTTTGTTCCTTTTATGAAATCTTTACTCTTCATAGGGGCCCCCCAACGAATTTTGATACAGGGCCCATCTAAGGCACGCTACGCCACTGTCTAGACCCTTTTTCTCAGGAACGCGTGGAGGTATCAAGCTGGAATATCATATCAAACACTCAAGCCTACTGTCCCTTAGAGCTGTGAAAAAATCAAACTTCTAAGCCAACGCAATCAAAAGATACAGCCGTTTATGCCGCAAATTTACGACATTCGCAAGGGAATCAGAACCTACAGGATACTTCCCGTAAACTCAGAATCTTAAAATTTTGTACGAAGCAACGTATTATAGCACAGTAAAGGAAAAATTGCGAAAAGCATAAATTTTTAGTTACATCTTATAATAAAAATATTTTTAATAATTCTAAACTTATATACCTACGGATTTGTTCGGAACCCTCGGTGCGCTAGTCCTACTCGCACTTAGCCGGTTTTTTTTTCTATAGGAGAGGGGGCAAACGAGCTAGTCTTTAGTCCTATCTACCCTTAGTTTTAGGTATGTAAGCATTATATTAGTCTGTGTTTTAGGTGTTATATTTAAGAACTAGAGTCCATTAAACAAAATGTGCGTATCTAGATATTGTAGATAGGGTCGATAATATAATGTAGAATAGGTAAATGACACTTAATTTTTATTGATTTTTTATGGAATAGGGATTAAAAACGAACATACAGTCCACCTGGTAGTAAGAGGGTGCTGTGTGATCAAAGAGTATAGTAACTGTCCTATACAGGAATGTGTGATCTACTCTACGATCTCGATTCTCGTTAATCTCATTTCATTCACCAAAGTCGTTCACGTTCTCTCTTGTTCCCTCGTTCGTTCGGTCGTTCGTTTTCGAGGTTTCGATTTGGAGTGTACCTTTGCTGGTTTTTTAATTTCACTTTAATTCTATGAATTTAAACACGATTTTATTTAGATTTTATAACATTTATTATAGTATGCATTATGGAATGTACACATTTGTTAGATAATGTTAAAGTGGATAAGGGTTTCATCTTTCAAGACGACACTATCACAAAGAACTTACATTGTTCAGGTAAGAAACTGAATTATTTTAATTATTAGACTGTACTAAATTACATTCGAGATAACAGTGTCATTTCTTGTTTAATTTGCGGGGTTAGATTGAAAAATCAATACACCGAACTTAAAATAATCAGCTGTTCGTGAAGTGCGGGAGGGGAGGCGGCATTGATGACCGCAAGTGACGTTCTAATGCTAATGCTTAGCGTGATATAAATGCAATGAGTTCGAATCACTCTACGACTACTAATATTGATCAAACAATCTGACTTGAGAGTACCTTGTAGCTTGAAGGGTAAAATCTGTGTAATAGATAAAGCCAAATTTCTTGTGGATGGCACGTAAATGTTTTACTATCTGCGGAAAACAAGAATAGTTTACGTAAATTTAACAAGTTTTTAAAATCATCCATGATTGCTAGGATTGTTTCTGCGCCGCGAAAATAATTTGTGACTTCGTCACTTTTTTTTTAGATTATCTTTAATTCGTCGTGTGGTAGTGGGGTAAAAGAATCTACCACCATATCATCACATGGGTCTCGTAAGAGCCGATAGAGGGAGATGAAGCTTTCTGATAACAACCTAAATTAATAAAAAACTGCTTGCTAACCTGCCTGTTAAGCATGGCAACTATGACTAATATCCCCTCTATCATGTTTTGTACCTGTCCCTCAGAAGCTTATATACAGCACAGCATGTGTAGAAACTTCTTCATCACCTCACACCGGTATTTATTTGTTAAGAGCTATTTTTATCTATGTAAACTTAAATTTTTATCTAATTTACTTCAAAACAAAAAAAAGTTATACTGGAGGACTGAAGTATGGAACTAAATTATAAGGGTTACTTATAATGGAATTCGGAAAATCATCAGCTAACAGTAGACTATGAAATGCTTATAGCTGAAATTGATTATGACTAATAAATCTTACACTTCTAGTAGTGGTCATCTTGTAATTTAGATTTGGCATTTCTAGCACTGCTTCTTGAATAAAATAGAGTTGTTTTAGGCTCATTTTAATTTTACTATGTCTATGACTGTTTTCCTTCATCTGTTGGAGACAGCAAAATTTCTTTACTTTTACTTGTAGAATGAATTAAAACTCCTATTTATAATTCCTATTTATAATCTTCAGCATGTTTAACGGCGGAGCAGAATTGGCTGTGCTTGCACTGTGGAGTTGTAAATTGTGGCCGATACATAAATGGACATGCCAGGGAACATGCAGAAATGTTCGACCATCAGCTTTGTATGAGCTGTGATGTTTATTCCGTTTACTGGTAAAAATTGAAAGAATGTTTTATTTTTATTAACTACTAAACTTACGTCAATACAATAATTATATTAACTTATCAGCTTATCACTATGCTAAGAGCTTTGCTGTAATTTTCTTTGAACAGAAAGGTGGTTGTAATATTAAATTAAACTGAGGTGTATTGATCACTTCTCTTTTTTTTAGCAAGCACAATATTTTGCAACTTACTGATATTTTTTCTACAATGGTAACTAGTGTTGAGTTGTTATGGGCTGATATGAAAATCAGTACATTGTTTTATTTTGTTACTAATGAAACTTTATCTAAATTTGATCATAATTCTATCTCCATTTTCTTCTGCAAATAAAATTTAGATACTCATATTAGAAAAAGTTATGTAAAATATTTCATTACAAAATATATTAAAATAACAATGCATGATGTTAATCTTTTATACACTTCTATTATACAAAAGATTTGGTTTTTTTTTCTTATTTTTTTATTTCAGACCTGCAGGTTTCCTCAGAATGTTTCCTGTCACTGACAAATTTTTTTTTTTTTTATAGGAGAGGGGCAAACGAGCATGCGGCTCACCTGATGGTAAGTGACTACCGCCGCCCATGAACAACTGCAACACCAGGGGAATCGCAGATGCGTTGCCGGCCTTTTAAAAAGGAGTACGCTCTTTTCTTGAAGGTCCCTAAGTCGTATCGGTCCGGAAAAATCGCTGATGGTAATCGATTCCACAAGGAGGTCGTGCGAGGAAGAAAACATCTTCTAAATCGCACAGTGGTGGACCGCCAATCATCCAGATGGTGTGGATGGTATCGGGAGTTCTGCCGCGATGTGCGTTCGTGAAATTTGGCGGCTGGGATTAATCCGAACAATTCCTCAGAGCACTCCCCATGGTAGAAAATGCAAAGGGATGCAACATCTCTTCGCAGTGCCAATGAATCGAGCCGATCGGAAAGGGCTCGGTCGTCGACAATTCGAGCCGCTCTGCGTTGGATGCGGTCAAGTGAAAGGAGCTGGCACTGGGGAGCCTCTGCCCAGAGATGGGAACAGTATTCCATGTGAGGCCGAACTTGCGCCTTGTAAAGTAGCAGGCGGTGTGCCGGCATGAAATACTGTCCCGCTCTGCTGAGCACGCCAAGCTTTTTAGAGGCCAATTTGGCCTTCCCTTCCAAGTGACCACGAAACTGCACGTCACTCGATATGTCGACTCCGAGGATACCGATACTGGCTGAGGCAAGAAGGGGAGTGCCTTGAAACTGAGGAGATACGACAAAGGGGTTCTTTTTAGCGGTAAACGCGCAAACTTGTGTCTTTTGAGGATTAAATTGGACTAGATTTAGTCGCCCCCAATCCGAGACTTTGTTCAGCAAAGACTCGACTTCAGACACAAGTTTGTTCCGGTACTCAGCGACGTTTTCCCGAGAAATATTGGCACGGCCGGTGTATAGAGCATCACCAGTGCTGTCATCCGCATAGCAATGAATGTTACCAGTTAGCAACATATCATTGATATGCAGAAGAAACAGCGTTGGTGATAGCACACAGCCTTGTGGAACACCAGCGTTAATAGGCTTGTAGTCAGAGCATGCACCGTCTAAAACGACCTTGATGCTCCGATCTACAAGGAAGCTGGTGATCCAATTGCACAATTTCTCGGGAAGCCCATAGGAAGGGAGCTTCGAAAGAAGCGCTTTGTGCCAAACCCGATCGAAGGCCTTCGCAATGTCCAGACTAACGGCCAACGCCTCCCCCTTGGACTCTACTGCCTCCGCCCATCTATGGGTCAGGTAGACCAGAAGATCACCAGCTGATCGACCCCGACGAAAACCGTATTGGCGGTCACTAATCAGCTGGTGATCCTCAAGGTACCGGATGAGCTGGCAGTTAATAATGGATTCCATTATTTTGGAGAACAAGGAGGTGATCGCGATAGGCCTATAGTTGGATGGGTCTGAGCGGTCGCCTTTTTTAGGGATCGGGTGGACAAAAGCTGTCTTCCATGAATTCGGGACTACGCTAAATATGTGATAAATTAGTTTTATTATGTATTAAAATTGTAACGAACAATGTCATTAGTACCGGCGAGGATTGTACCTGGCTTGCTCACATTGTGAAAGGAGACAATTGTTTTTGGGCCCATTAGAAACTAACCTAACTTAATTTTATTACACATTAAAAAGATACCAATTTATCAGAGTAAACTGCCTAAAGAATTTATGAAAATGTAACCGGAATCATAAAATCTGAAAAAAATAGTTCTTTTGATATTCGTGAATTGGCTAATGTAATATGAAAAAAAAAACATATAAAAAAGAACGAACTACTAAAAAAAATTTCCATCTACCTTAAAGTACCTATAAATGCTGAATGTACCTACAGCTTTCTTTTATACTATTAATTATTGACCAGTGCACTATTTTAACTTATAATACCAGTGAAAACTACTAGACAATCACTTTTAGTTTGTTTTTAGTTTATTGTGATATTTTAATTGTTAATTTCTCAGTATTCCAATTAGATACGGTAAAACTAATATTACTATTGTAATCTATTGATTATAACTTATAACTTTCAATCTTATAACTTATAAGGAATAAATTGACATGTGTTTCATTAATTTACTGTGTTGGGCCTATTGTCAATACAAAAAGAAGTTGTCTCCTTTACAGCAAGCACTTAGCAACTGAGCTACCATGACTCTTTGCAGTTGATAGCTTCTCATTTTTCAAAAGTTGACATTTACAAAAGTTTGAAAATTTGTATGGGCAATGTATTAAATTTTAGTAATTTATTCCTTACTACTTCATTATATATTACATATAATAACAAATGTTGCTATTTTTGCAGTTACAAATGTGATGACTATGTAGTTAATGATTTGGCAAATCAAGAGATAGAAGAAATAAGACAACGTATAATGCATTTAAGAAGAGATGAAAATTGTCTAGAGGCAAACAGTAAAATAGATCAAATTGAACATAATAGCAGAGATAGTGATAATATTAACGGTCATATTGTACACAACACCTCTATGCAGAATGATAAACTTTTATCAACGGACAGTAAAGAAGAGAACAGAATTTCTCGTTTCACGTCATCTAGCAGTTGTAGTGATAGTCTTAGTGACCCTGTTGGAGTGATAACAAATTCAGTTTCTTTATCTGATTCTAATGAAAATAAGCCTATGAAATGTTCCAAGGTAATATTTACTTAAATTTAACCCTCAGTTCAAAAATTTACTTATAACTTATTATTAGGAACTCTATTCTGTCCTTCCTTGTATCTATTCTATTTATCTTCAACTGCTGTTAACTGATAATTTGTTATTTTTTTTTTGTTTTTAAATTGTATATTTATGTAAATAATATTGTACAATTAGTTATTGAGCTTTTCCATAAAGAAATTCTTAGTAGCTGCCGGGAGTCAGGAAGTCGACGGTGTCTCACCCCCGTGCCCATGAAGCAAATACAAAGGGGAGACGTTGTAATTAAATTTCACTATGTAACAACGCGTGACAATTTGCGGGGTGAGAGGATGCAAAGCCCCGCCCACTACACTACCTACATCTACCGATAAATAGTAAAACTACTCGAATCTTTCCATATCGATGTTGCAATGTAGCTTAGCTACCTTGACGGTAGATGGCGGCATGTCCACAAAATGTTATAAACTTTAAAAATAACACTTTGGCGATTAAAATTTCTTTATGTCTGAATGCAAACAAATTTCAGCACCGTCGTATGATTATTTTATCATTACTGAGCTCTACGTACCTTTATATTTTTAGTTCACAGGACACAAAGTGTCGCCATCTAGTGTGGAATATATTTAATTATATTTGAAAGCCGACGCAAAGAGATTTTTCTAGAACTATTTTAATAAATTAGGTGTAAAATTACTTACAAATGAAATGTGATGCCATCTATAGCATCGGAGCGTTATCTCATGAAGCAAATACATTCAGACAAAGAAATTTTAATCGCCAATATAATATTTTCGTAGTTTTCATAATAATCTTGGGAACAGGCCGCTATCTATCGTCAAGTAAACCTCATAAAAAATAACAAAAAGACAGGGCCGCCATTAGAATTCAATTATTTTAACCAGTAACCCAACATTCAATATTAAAATGAAGGAAATTGTACTTGGCTGATTTTTACGAAATGTTTAAGTTATATTTAAGTGACATTCTATATGCAAAGAATCACTTAAATACAATTTAAATATGTTTATCATTTCGTGAAAGTCAACCAAGAAATATTTATTTTATCCATAAAATAAAGTCTCTTCGAAACTAAATATTCTATGTTCAATATTAAGTAGGATATTTAATTTGGAACTAAATATCCTACTTATCTCACTAATATTATAAAGGCGAAATTTTGTGTGCTCTTTCTGTCTCCTTGAGCTTATTCCACACTAAGTATGTGTAATTTCTTCACGCAGAAACGGCTGGCTTACTATTTATGTGTGGGTTATACTACTTAATATCTCTGAGGGAGAACAAATAATAGACAAATTATTATAATTAATATAATTTTATTTACAAATATTACAAAGAACATTAAATTGTATTTAAGTGATTCTTTGCATATAGAATGGCACTTAAATATAACTTAAACATTTCGTAAAAATCAGCCTAAGTACAATTTCCTGCATTTAATATTAAAAGTTGGATTACTGGGAAAAATAATTGAATTCTAATTAGGGCCCTGTCTTTTTGTCATTTTTATGAGGTTTAATTGACGAGAATACGGCCTGTTCTGAAAATGATTATAAACTATAAAAATGATATTTTGCGATTAAAATTTCTTTATGTCTGAATGCAAAACAAATTTCAGCACCTTCGTATGATTATTTTACCAATACTGAGCTCTACCTTTACATTTTTAGTTCACATGACACAAAGTGTCGCCATCTAGTGTCGAATATATTTAATTATATTTGAAAGCCGACGCAAAGAGATTTTTCTAGAACTATTTTAATAAATTAGGTGTAAAAATATTTACAAATGAAATTTGATGCCATCCATAACATCAGAGCGTCTATCTGAATAGTTTTTACGCAATAAAACACAACACTTCAGCCTTTTCTTCTTAATACTACGAAAATACACCGATTTGCGATTTTTTCAACACATAAGCGCACAGGACGAATGCTGACAGTATACTAACTAAAGCCACGCCCACTATGATGACGTCAGGACCTACTTAGAATCACAGTGCACAGTTGCTTATGCCGTCTCCCCTTTGTATTAGCTTCATACCCGTGCCTCGGAAAGCAGCACGTAAAGCCGTTGGTCCTGCGCCTGATCTCTCCGGTCGTGTCGGTTCACTGTCCCATCGGACTATGAGAGTGAGGGAATATAGAGTGTATCTGTGCTTGCGCATACACTTGGGCACTATAACCCTGTCCTGCGCCGATGGCTAGTCTCCATTGAGCCTGGCCGCCGTGACCGAAATTCGGTCTGGAGGACATTATTAATATTTATGTATAACTCCCTCTTCTAGTTATGTAGTACCCCTTCTTCATTTTTTGTGTAACAAGGATATCTGAAAAACAAATGTATTGATTGTACAATAAAAAATATATTGATTGATTGATATTTTAAGATTTATAATTTTCTCATGTGGCAATGCCTCAATCTCAAAGAAGACGCGTAAAATAGCAGCATTATGCTGCTGTTTCGTCTGGAAATGGGACATTCCATTTTTTTCCTCAGGAGTGAAAATGCACGCGTATTTTGATTCTTAATTGAAGATAGAGACAACGCATCTATCAACCATGAGGTGGACATTGAGCTCCTTTATCAACCTTATACTATATTTAAAAAATTGTTTATGTATACCTTTGTACCTTTGTAAGTGTTTATGTGTACCTTTGTAAGAAATATATTTCATAGCTTTTTCATAGAGTTTTGATAGTGTATCCATTCATCAATAACTGTGACAGGTAATTAGAACAACTTGATACAGCCAATGAAACAACATGGTGTTGGATAGGCACTCCACACATAGGACACGTCTTTAATATGCAATGTTTTTAATAATGATAATTTTTCTGTTGCAGAATTCAGAGGAACCTGTTAGGAGCTTAAGGCCACGATCTCGTAAGCGATCTCACTCAGAAGATAGCAGTTCAGCTGAAAATGCAGTGCAACCTTCTAAGAGCAAAGAGAAAAAAATATTACCATGTAATGGAAAAACTATGAGAGAGAAAAGAGTAGTAGGATTAAAAAATTTAGGCAACACATGTTTTATGAATGCTGTATTGCAGAGTTTGAATAATATACAAGAATTTAGCTGTTATTTTAACCAGCTACCGTCTTTAGAGATGAAGACAAATGGAAGGAAAGTGTATCATTCTAGAAGTTATACACGTCAGGAGATGCATGATGTTGTTATGGCGGAGGAGCTTAGAAAAGTAAGCATTTTTTTTGTAAACTAGAGTGGCGAATAAGCTAAGCAGCCTGCAATGGCTACTGCAAACTTCAAAAAAAGGAGGTGAAATATACATTGTCACCTGTAGAGTCATCATTAGAGCCCTTCACAAGTCCACTGCTGAACATAGGCCTCCCCCAAGGAATGCCACAAAGCACGGTCCTGAGCCATCTGCATCCGTCAACTTCCTATATTCCCAAGAGGATGGCTCTAACCCAGAGGGACTTCTGGGTAGAAAAGGACCACTTGTGAGTGAACAGGACATTGTGAATTAAGGAAACTTCTTTTCCTAGAATTTGGAATGTCACTTAACATTAATTTCCTGTAGATAGTCTGTTATTTGTCATCATGCATTTAAGAGAAGAATATGAGACAAGTTATGTAGAAGTTTTTATGAAAATTTGGAAATTTAGAAAACAGATGTTGACTGTTGTGTAATTATTAGACATCGGATTGTATGCACTAACAAAGTGCCAAAATATGCATGCAAATATGCACTAAAAAGGCCGAAATATGCACTTAAAACTGTTGATATGCCCAAAATATGCACAATGCAAAATCAAAAAACCGTTTTTATTTTAATATATTTTAATTAAAGAGGGAACAAAAACAGCGAAATGTTCTTAAAATTATGCATACTTTTATGACAATATACAATTAAGTATCTTTTCAAATTTTCGAACGCAAATTTGTGACGCTTGTCATCCAGTATCAATTTGTACGCCGAAAACGATCTCTTCACATCAACTGACGTCATTGTACAAAATTTAAAATTTGGCCAGTCAGTTCATTCAGCCACTGCGCTCGCGCACCACACGTCTTTGTCGCCTAGGGCCCTATACGTAACTCCCGCATACTAAACGAAATATGCACGATTGGCAAAAAAGGCTAAAATATGCATTAATGCCGTATTTAGAGAGTTTGCATATGCAAATATGCAAATGCATAAAATCCGATCCGATTATATATATTACATGTTAGTCAAACTTCGTTTATATAATTTTGTAATAATATGTTTAATTTATTTCTTTACATATTGATAATGTTTTTGTTAGTAACTTTTGAACAACTTGTCAATTGTCATATTCACACAATATATTTGTAAGGTGTCTCATATAGCTATACTAATATCTGTTAGGTGGCGTTTTAGTCAATTTATTAAAAAAATATTTATGTATCAAAACTGCTCTTATTCACTATATTATGTTGATTTAGTGCAAAAAAATCGCACTATGGTTGAATTATTGATGAATTTAATATTCACATTGTAAAAAAATTACGAACTCAAACTATTATTATCAGATTTTTGAGAAGACTGTTTGTGACGAACAGACAGATACATTGACAGACATTGGGGTGATCCCAAATTTGTGTGTTAATAACTAGTGTGCTAATAACTATAGTATTGATTGGACTTGTTATAACTTCAGTTGTTTTTTTTTAGGTACTAATAAATCTAAACACAGGAGGTTGCGGTTCCAAGGGGGCAATATCACCAGAGTGCTTATTCCTTGTCATATGGAAAGTTGTGCCAAGGTTTCGAGGTTATCAACAACAGGATGCTCATGAGTTCTTGCGCTATATGTTAGACAGGTTACTATTACTTTTTCTAAAATCTGAAAATTTTGCTTAACAATTTTAACAGGGTTTATCTTCATCATTACAGAGTACCACAAGTCTTCCCCAAGCCATGCCTTAAATGCTAAATTAACTTAAGAATTGCCGCTCTTACTTAAACTACTGGGTAACCACACTACGTCTAACATCACAGCTATATTACTTAGTTTAAGAAACAATTACTTTTGACTATTCCTGGGTAATTTATCATTTATTGTATTGTGTGCATCTCTGATATTTCATACAAATCTTTCTTATATGTATTTTGTGCTGGATCTCATGGGTCTCTCTCTCTCTCTCTCTCTCTCTCTACTAAAAACTATTCCCGTAAGTGTTACACTTAGTATGTAAATAGATTACAAATAGCGATACACGCGCTGATTGGCTTATTGCGCATAATTCGCACTGATTGGCTCGTGCCTATCGTTCGCACGCGCTGATTGGCTCTCCAGTCGCATTTGTGCAATTCAATTCGTGCGCGTCCCCTCCACGTTTCGTTAAGCGCTAGACTTACGTGCCGCGACTTGTATTATGTATATTATCGAATTTATTTATTGTTCCAGGTTGCACACAGAGTTACTGCAGCTACTGCCGCCAGACAGATCTGATGGTGGTTTTGTACCAAGGACACCTTCCGCCTCTATAGTAACTGCTGTGTTTGGAGGCACGCTCCAGAGTGAAGTGAGTATTCTTTCTTTTCTTTAAAAAAAACTACCACTACATTAGGATTTTCTACTGTATCGTGGAGGCAGTTTACAAACATTAATTGCATATGGACAAACATCCAGACCTGGAATGTCGGTTCTTGTGTAATTAATGTTTGTAAACAGTGCGGGATTCGAACCCGTGGCCCTCAGTGCGGCGACTCAAAACTATGCTATTGCGCCACGGATTCGTCAAATATATATATATATATATATATATATATATATATATATATATATAGTTATTAGCTGGCCATGCAGACATTGTTCTGCCCTTTTCGACGACCCTTCATATAAAAAAATCCTTAAATTCTTAATAAAAAAACAGTGTCATTTATCAGGATAAAAACTATCCTATCTCTCAAGTTGGACCAAACTGCACAGAGTGTGCAAAATTTCATTGAAATCAGTTCAGTAGTTTAGTACATCGCGGACAAACAACGTGACATGTAATTTTTATATATAAAGATATATATATATATATATATATATATATATATATATATATATATTTTATATTATATTGGTATATATTTTCAATGTATAATTTGTCTAATTTCAGAAATATATTCGACAACTGTCCTTGAGCTGTGGTATCTAAAGTGTTAAAAGTTCACCTTAAAATATGTTTATAACTCTAGCAAACCAGGTTCAATTCCGTTCGGACCAGTTAAAATGTTAAACTAACTTTAAGTGTTAATTTGCCACTTGCTAGGCGGTGAAAAGGAAAACCAAACAAAGAAAAGTTTTTTGGAGGAGGTTTGCCAATTCATATTGGGGCAATGTGAACTCTTTCTTGCTCTAAACTCTACGAAATATTACACCTTGCCTAAAAACCCTCTATGAAATGTTATACCTTGCCCTAAAACCCTCTATGAAATGGCAAAACACACATACTTTTTAAATTCAAATACAATAATTGTTTTTGTAGGATTGTAATTATTTCAAAATGTGTGAGGTTCGTAACGTAACTAAGGTGGACGCATCTATACACCTAATGTCAAAAATTGGAAACTCAGTAGTGTCACTGAAATTTTAATATCCGTTTTACGTGCAGAGGATCACACTCGCACAGGAATGATTCTATAAGTGTTTCGGCTTTCGCTCTCTGAGGAAACATATCTGCATTTCGATTGAGGATAAATATAGGTGTCTTTAGGTCACAGCATCCATTTACCTTCATGTGTACTGTTTTTTTTTGTCACCTTCATGCTTTAGTTGAAGGGAAGCATTAAGAGAAGAGTGAAACTTCCTCTCTTATCTAGGGAATAGACAGCAAAATAAAGTTTTGAAAACATTAAAGATAGCGCTTAATAATAATCTGTGGAGGGAATCCTATGTATGGCTGTAGACTTGTGATAGGCTACTATGATGATGATGATGGTGATGTGGATAACTTGTTAATTTATGTTTGCTTGGTTTCAGGTTCGTTGCTTGGTTTGTGGCACTGAGAGTAAAAAGTTTGATCCATTCTTGGATCTTTCATTGGAGTTACCTGAGGCAGGTCGACACGACTCGCCCGTCTCTCTGACGGATTGCTTAGCAAGTTTCGTACAGGTAAATCTTATGATAATGAAATCCCCATATTTTGAAAGACTCGTATTTGTTTAAAGATGTGTACAGGAAATATAATACCTGAAATACTAGGGTAACAAAACAAAAATTCTTTTCTCACTTTTCCACATATTATGAGGTTATTAGTAGGTACCCATATGTACACGAGTGTGGATTGCTACCCTTAGTCCTGCTAAATGTTATTGTAGGGATCTTGAAGCCTCTGATTAATGTTTACCACTTGAAATATTATGTGAAAAAATCTATAACGAAATTTATTATTAATTTAACAGCGTTAATGAGAGTGGCTTCCAACTGTCCCCTATTTTCCAAGACAGTTCTGTAATAATTGCGCATTACAATTGTCACATTGTATTTCATATAGGGTATTACACCCATTTTCAAATAGTGTTTTAAATGAATCCTAGAGTAATAATGGACCACGATCAATTTTATCTAATTATTTTTTAAAAATTACACGTGACGTCACTGCGCTAGTAAATAAAACAATTTTGCAAAGGAATATGATATTTTTGGATGTTTAATAATGAGTCATCATCTTTATCCATATTCAAGTTACACACTATCTCTATTTAATTATTGAACAATAAAATTAAAGAAAACATTCACAGACTGTTTTATTCACGATTTGACGCGGAAATTGGTGGAGTCTAGATACCTTTAAGGGCATTTCCTATACCAGCAGCTTGATATAATCGTTATGCTTGGCTAGGTAATTGGCGGCCACATTACAAAACGTCGTCCGGCGTTGTGTCTGAATGAAAAAATACGTAATATACGATTTTTTCCGTTTTGATAAGAACCATAAAATTATTAACAATTAGATGAATGCACCCAAACACGTAAAAAATTACAGTTTTTCAATTAATTATTTGAAAACTCCCTGTGTGCTCAGTTTTTGTCGCCTCTTCTTAATGGATTAATGAATAAAAAAAAGTTACGTTTGTTATCGCTTTGTATTTAAGTAATAATTTTGTTGGTAGTGTAAATACAAACTCGAAAATTAAATCAAAGAAGATCAATTTTAATCCATCACCATAGCTCTAAGTTGGACCAATAAAACGTTGGGGCCAGAGCGATTAATAAACTTTAGTCTCGTTAATGTACCACGGCGGTAAAATCTGACAGCACAAATGTCATTTATTACATGTTTGGAAACTATAACAGCAACTGTGGTAAATATCCCTCCTATGAGGCAATCTATGGGAAAGGCATAGATTATTTGTGAGCCGTAGCCGTACTCGAAACTCGGCCACGACATTAATAACAATTTTCTGTACAGGTTGAAGAGTTGGCAGATACGGAAAGGTATTTCTGCAGTAGTTGTAAAAGCAAACAGAAATCAACCAAACAGTTTTGGATACGGCGGCTACCCAATGTTCTCTGTCTGCACCTGAAAAGATTTCGATGGCACAACTACTTTAGGTAATACAATTTGTGTCTATTACTTTGTCATCATTTAGGTACTCAATAATTAAGTAGTTAATTATTTCGAGATTTGTTAATATAAAAAAATACTCTATTTGGTGAATATGTCAAATTCGTTAGCAAGCAATTGGGCAGAGCGGTGGTATCTTTTCTGGCTTAAAGATCAAATGTGGCAATGTCCAGCTGTGGGATATATGTTTTAAATGTTTTCAAAGTGTATTTTATTTATAACATGATTTAGAAGTGTCTGCAGTGTACTGAGGGTAGTATACCATCGTAAAATGGCAGTTTAATGCTAGCGTGAGCTAATGTCAGTATTTTCTTTTTATTGTAAAGTAATAGTAAAGTTACAGTCTATGCAGGGTTATTTTACAAAAACCGGACATATTTACAGAGAAGGTTCAGATTAAGCAATATAGGCAAATGATAAAAAAAACTTAATTAAAAAAAATCTCAAACATTGTCCTTTTATCTTTTAAATTCAAATTGCGTGGTAATGCTTTATTTTAACTGTTTGTCATTCATAAAGATATAACGCCCACTATTTTACTACGCACGTACACATTCATAAGTGTCGCTCGGTTGGCAATAACGTTGTGCGTATTTGTTGCCCATAAATCATATTCAATTTGGGATAATTTTCTCTCTGCTCTCTGCTTAGCTCGTGGTTGACTGGTAGAGAATGCTTAAAGGCGTTAATTCCGCCAATTGTATATTTTAACACTTTCACTGTCCAGTTTTCAGACACAATAGTAAGACAATAGTAATGACCTATATGTAGTGTACGAGACAGCGAAAGGGTTAAGTGCAATAAAGACGTTAAATAAATAAATAATTTCAAATAAAAGTGAAGCCTTATTTACTCGTATTTACAAAAACTGCAATAACGGTATATCATTATTTATTTGAACTTAAGTTTAAAATTTGGCTACTCTTTAAAAATAACCCTGTATATGTCCCACTGCTAGATGTATGTCTACCTTATTTCTGAAAGGGTAAACTGTGGTTGCTAAGGGGCGAAGCACTCGCTGTATATTTCACAATACGCGAGCAACCTCCTCGGTTCGATCCCCACCGGTTCTAATGATATAGTTAATTGTAATTTTAAGTGTTAATTTGCCACGTGCTTGTCGGGCGACAAATGAACACATGGTCTGCACTTACCTGATGGTAAGTGGATGCTGTGACTCATTGACAATTACATCTATCTTTAATCTAAATGCTGCCTCCTAATTCTAATGAATGTTTGTTTCCAGTAAAGAGAGTCTACGGTTCTCTTCACTCACCATACGAAACACAGCAGCATTAAGCTATGGGGGAGGCCTATGTGTGTTCAGTGGTGGACTTTAAATAGGCTGTTTGGCCGTGGTAATAAAGAAGGGAGATCTGTCGCTGGACAGGTATTTAGCTCGGGGATCTAACTAACGCTCCGTCTGATAGATCGGAGCATTATATACCGCAGTTCCTCGGAACTTAGATACCGCGATTTAGGCTTCGGTGTGTTTCGCTTGTGTTGTGACGCTAGCGCCGCCACAGTTGTAACGGTAACGGTAAGGTGTGTTGTGTGTGCGCAGGACGAAGGTGGACACAAGCATCTCGTTCCCGCTGCGCGCGCTCGACATGGCGCGCTTCGTGCCGCACGCAGACTCGCACCCCGCCGGCCCCTCCCCCGCGCGCCACGCGCCCCCCGCGCCCGCCTCGCCCGACGCGCATCTCTACGACCTGGCCGCCGTCATCGTGCACCACGGCTCCGGGTACCGTACTACCGTTCTTTTTACATGAATAATAGGGTGGAGCGAAAAAAAATGTGTCAATAGGGTCAATAAACAAATGCGAAAATATTTTTTATCTAGATTTATATTTGGACGTACCCCGGATAGAACAGTTTTGAAAGAAAGTTCTAAACATGTCAATGTTCGTTAATGCAAAACCTTATAAGAAATCTTTGAAATTGTTTTGTGTATTAATATAATACTCTAGAAACTGATAAACTTTTATTAAAAACTAACTTCTCAAATGACATTGTGTAACAAAAAAGTTTACCTCAGTGTCAACTAGCGACATCTGGTGAGCAGATAATTATTAGCCCTCATTGTGTACACTATCCTCCCATCACACACTAAACCGTAGATGGTAAATCGCATTGAATTATTGTTATATTATCTTATCTAAAAAACCTATGTTGTAGTTATCATCCCGTCCAGCAGTAGAATTTAGAGGCTGTAATAGGGATGTACAAGGAAAAATATATATCGATATATATATATATATCAAATCGATATTTTTAAGCATTATCGATATATATCGCGTTATAAATATCGATATATTGTCATCATTTGCATGATGTAAGGATAAGGCCCAAAATTTAATATTACTGACGGTTGGATGACCAAAAAAACGACAACCACACATCAATGCTCCTTTTGTTGTTTCATGTTTTGTCCGTTTTAAAATATAACGAAATTGATACGAATTTGATACTCTAAAATAAATTACGAAATATCAATATATCTCGATTAAAATATCGACGATATAAATATATTTTTTGATATGTCGATATTTTTTGCCCAAGCCTAGGATGTAATGATGATTATCATAATGATTGTCTGAATATGTAGTGTCCTAGTAGGTGAATTGGAGATTTTTTTATAGTTTATTACAATAAGACTTAACCTTTTTTGTACATATGTGTCCCTTGATCTTGTTCCTAAGGGTTGCCAATCTTCAAAATATAAGTAAATATGTATAGATATATAATATATACAATGATATTGTTTATTTACAGAGCCGGTTCTGGTCATTACACTGCGTTCGCGATTAACGAGGATCAGTGGTTTCACTTCAACGATCAAACAGTGCGGGCCAGTGACGCCTCAGCAGTGGCCTCGTGCAAGCCGTACATTCTGTTCTACATCCGACGCGAACTAGCTTTACCAACGTCGTGACGTCACTGACATCCAACCACGTACAAGTGTGCTAACGCCACACTAATAATCGTTAGTCACAAGCGTAGTGATAGCACACGCTTATGTGTGGCAGTGCCGTTGCTGTGACAGTCCCAGGTATGGAAAAAGGATAGTCGCGATTGCTCGTCACAAATCTGGGTTTAGTTGTTGATTGTAAGGCTCAAGAGTGGTACTATCTTTAACTAACATTTGCCTTGTAAGTACCACACTACGGATTTCTTCACACAAGTGTGACTTAGCTGAGCCATTAATTATAATTTTGAGAACACCATCTCTATAGATTTAAGCTAAGTGTTTGTGTATACCGAATTACTGATCTGTTTTTTTAACTGCTTGTTAGATTAACATTGTAAATACGTCGCCTTTATTCCCATTATCAGACCATATCGATTTGTACTGAACCTGAAAAAATTGATACGATTATTTTAATGCTATGGTATTGAACGATATCGAAAACGACAATATACATTTATACAGTTTTGATGTTAATACACGCCTTTGGGATTTCTTCAATTTTAATGTAATGTTTTATTCCTCAAAGGAAAATTAATTGTATCTACGACTTTGAAATTCGTTCATTGAAAACTAGGATATCGGCAAGAAATATATGCTACCCTCAAGTATCAAATTAATCAGTTTTAGGTATCAGTCGATTCTTTTCATATTTCTAAGTCAGTGAGAGTATTATAGATTTTTATTATTTAATGCCTTTATTTTGGACATTAAATATAAAGGTAAACGTAATTATGTTAGATACATTTTGTGAAATAGAAAACTAAGGTTTTATTTTTTAAAATAATAATGATATCTACACTAACCCATTCGCTGTCTCGTGTATTACATATAGTTCATTGCTATTGTCTCACTATTGTGTCATAAAATCGGACAGTGAGTATTAAAGTTAGAAAAAAAAATATTTTTATTTTATCAGAAAACAAGCAATTGTGATTACGATGAATTTGAGTAAATGGTCTTGTAATACACTACGACATTTAATGTTAATTCAAAGCTATATTAGTAGTATAGTTGTAGCACGAATGGGTCGGCTCGACCGGGGAAGGACCACGCTCTCACAGAATACCAGCGTCAAATAGCAGCTTCATGCTGCTGTGTTTCGTATGGTGAGTGTAGAGAACTGGAGACCCTTTTTAATGGAAAAGAGGCATTCTATCTTAGTCTTCACGGGTGACAAGCTATCTGCATTTTGATTCGCAAACGAGGATAAATGTAGATGTCTATGGGCCACAGCAACCACTTACCATCAGGTGGACTGTGTGCTCGTTTGTCACCCTATCCTATAAAAAAAAGGAAATCTGAATTATTTATTTTATGTGGTACCTATATTATTATTTCAGAGTCATTGTCAATATTGATTAGATTTCATTTAAATTACCCATTTAACACTAAAGCATCTGCAGTCTTGTATATTTGAACATTTATGTGTACAAAGCTACTACTAAAGGATTTATGTATACAAATGAAACACAATAAAATATCATTATTACTTGCTGACTGAGGTGGCCTCAATTTTAATTTAAAAAAAAATAACCTTCCCGTAGGTAATGAAATATATAATTAAAGAAAAGTGTAAACAGAAAGTTAACAAGTGTAGATCTTTTGTACTATTATATTTTAAAGCTGTATTTAAATTATGATACATTACCGGATGGCTATTTGTAGGACGCTGTCGCGATAAATATTTTGCCTTCGATCACGTCGTCGTCAACGATGCTACATGCACTCGTCCGCATAACCACCAACCTAGTAAAAGTTGCGCTACAACTAGGGTTGCCTAGTAAACTATTTATACGGAATATAGTATGTACTTGACAAAAATATACCTTGCGCATTAAAATATAGTTTTTTATTGATTAAAAAACTGTTTTTGAAACATTATTCTAGCTTTATGCATCCCTTACTAATTTGGTATCATTCAAACAATTAAAAATAAAACAATAGAATAGAATAAAATAATTTTTATTCAATATAGAATACTTATTGAAAGTCATTTAAGCTTTACCACAGGTTTGGCAAAAAACCTTTGTCCTGGGAAGAACTAGCAAGAAACCCAGTGCGATCTTTTTTTTTTTTATACAAAAGTTTGAAAACATATCGAAACATCATGGTAGCGATCACCTCATGCTCAAGGGTTATTAACCATCTCTTTGGAGTCGACAAACTGGTATAATTTGCTTGTGCTTGTTCCTCATATTTACAAAATGTACCATTACTATTTCTTTAAATTTTTCTCTAAGGTATGCCTTCGGACCTATGTTGTAAATTGCTCTTATAGCTCTCTTTTTCCACTTGTGTAAAAAGTACCCATAAATAAATTTTCGACACTATTTTTGTGTAATTCTATTTTCCTAAAGATATATAGCATGACTTATAAAATATAGTATCGTTGGCAACCCTACCTGCAACTCATATATATCGCGATTTTTCAAACTCCTAGGACACATAATATATAATATATATTGCGACAGCAAAATCCTTCGACGAATCTCGATAATGTATTCGCGGCATTATATAACTGAAATGTTATGTATATCGTTAATATGAGCATACTACAACCATACATTATGTATATCATTGATCTGGGTATATTACAACCATTTATTATTAAGACACGTGAATTTAATATTTCCATAAATATATGAAAATAAAAAGCTGATTTTGAATCATTAACCATATGATAATACTCATAAAATAGTCTTATGCTGTTGTTGACATGTTAGCGTTTTGCTAATACAATGAAATAAAATTACAACTTAAATAATATTATATAATATTAAGCGTATTATGTGATACATTATTCTTGCAGCAAGTAACAAAATAGCATTAAATTTGATGCATTTAAGACATATGCTTATAGGGTTGCCATTTCAAAATATAAAGTACCGGGGCAATATTTTAAATCTACAGTAAAGTGAGGTATTTGTATTGATTTTCTAATTAACGAAATTGGACGTTATAAAGATTGATGTAATCTTTACTAGTCCACCACTACTATGAAAAGTGCTTGGCGCTGGACAATTAAATATCGGTCCTAATTTTAAGACATTCTACGAGAAATTTCTCTAAAATTCATGGAACACATTATTTAACAATTCTATAGATTAAGTTAGTTATGGGACAAGTACTAGCTTGTGAATTACATTCCTGTGACATCTTTTTCACAAATTTGTTATACCGTTCGAATGTAGAAGTACAATATGGAAGCTCGTTTGCAAATATTGTGATAGTATAAATGTGTGAATGGTTTGCAAATTATAATTGTGTCAGTTATTTTCTCTCCTTTGCAAAGTACCGTAACGAATGACAGGTTTATTTTTTGTAAGTACTCCAATAACTGGAAAATTGTGATTGAATTTAATAAATTCGCTAATACAAAAGATTCGCCGTGTTTTATTATTATTTTATTTGCATTTTATACACCAGATACACTTTATAATGCGTTTGAACCAACATTGCTTGTTCTCATTTATATCTGATGCCAATGATAGATACAACGAAGGAACGCTTTCTGTTATTGGTAAAAATTCTGACCACTCTACTGGTTTTAACAAAGGCATATTTTTACTAAATAGCCTGTCTTTATTTTCCATAGAGTCAATTTCATCATTATAAAAATTTTCTTTATTTCCATGTTCTTTTTTATCACCAATCCAACTTTCTCCATTAAGATTTTCAATGTCAGTCAGTTCCTTTTTTATTAATTGATTTATTCGAATGTGAGGTTTTTTTAGGCGTTTCATTTTCTTGTAATCTCCTTTTTCATCTATTAGTGATTCGTCTTTCTCTGGATCTGTTGATATCGATTTAAAGTAAGTTTGTTCATCATTTTTTGTTTCCACGTACATAACTACACTGTTATTACCAGGTTTTTGATCAGATGTGCTCGAAAAAGTTGTTTCGTTAACTTCTAATGTATTCCAAACACTATTACATTTTAATTTACACTTTTCATCATTCTTTATTCCCTCTTCAATAAAATAATTTTTATCTATGAGTTTAGGAAGTTTAAGATTTCTCCTTTTTGTTCGTGGAGATAAAGCCAACCAATTTATAATATTAGTTGCGGAAATAGTAGACTCCTTGAAACATAAATCTTCTTTCAAATTATTGGAAAATATTGTTTTAGTATTATTTTCTTCTAACGGGAAATTGTCGGATTTTAAGGATATAGGCGCGTTTCCTGTAGTATATTGATATGGTTCTGTTATTTCTGTGACTGTTGGTAGAGTAGCCGCTACATAAAAATTTAATCTAGGAACATATGCGGCGGGGATTGGTGAGGCAACTCTGTGTTGATATTTCATTTTAGTCCGGTTTTCCACTTTCTCGCGGTCCTCATAATCGACGGACGTGGATGAATTGCTATCTGTGCTAGAAATATCTATAGGCGTGGTGATATCTTCATTTAATATATTTTTATTTTTAAAAGAATAAATCCATATTGTACGTTTGCTGTTGTCCAAATCCTTATGATAACTATTGAATTTTGAATTATTATTATCATCATTATTGTTCCAATAATCGCTTTCTAATACCACATCACCGCATTGTATTTTTTCAACACCATTTTCTTTATCTGACAAAGATTCTGAATCGGCTAATTCGTTACTTATAATAGTGAAGCAGTTTAATGGATTTTTTGTTGATGTATCTTCTTTTGCACTACGCCATTTATGATTGTAGAAACCAGTGTAAATATGATCTGAATTGGATTCATTATTTTTATATCTTACATACTCAATATCCCTGTTTATATATTCAGGACACACCTTATTTTTCATCCGTCGCTTCTCACTTGCGTTCTTATTAACATTATAAGTTTCATCATTCATATGTTGTTCATTATTATCTACGTAACACCAAGCATGCTTACGCTCACATTTTTCAACCTCATAGCCGGATTCTGATGAATTTGAAGAGTCTATCTCTGCTATTGTAATACCGGTAGCTTCCTCTTTACA